AATGCCCCCCCCCCTTCCCACAGAATCTATGTATCAATGGGGCAGTCAGTTAAAAGCACCGAGTGGGATTCTGGAGCATCGCTTCTACCCGCCTGGGGTACAACATCCATAGTTTTGTTCGACATATTTTTCCCCTTGCTATTATTTACCCCTGGCAGCCCAGGTAACTACGACCCGTGGGGGCGTGACTTCCCAAGCAGCGTCGTTTCTGTCGCTATCCCTTGCGGGGTATTATTATTATTTTTATTAATTTTTATTTTCTCCATTTCCACAGGTAAGTACTTTGGACATGGCTTTCAGCAAGTGGCCGCCTTCTGAAGTTTAAGGTACAGTTTCGGTGGTAGTTGCAGCGTTTGAAGGCTCCAGTGTAGTTTTAGAGATATTTCACCAATTGCTCCCACAATTGTTGGCACAATAACCAATTTTTCTTGGTTCCAGATTGTTTTCGCTTCGAGTGGCGAGTGCCATGTATCTTCGGACTTTCTCAACCTGTGTGTCCAGGATGTTATGGGCGCAATATCTAATAATAATTAATTTCTTTTCGCGGAGTAACCACCGATATGAAAAGAAAATGGGCGGCGAGCTCGGAAGAGCTTTAAAGTGGACTGTAGGCTTTAAAAATTTAGAAATACTACCGATTGCCAAACGGGCCGCTAAAGAACTTTAAGGTCTCACCTTAAGCGCACGCCTCCGTCTCCTCAGCAGGCCTGCTTCCTCTTTGCTGTAAGTTTTGCTACTCAATTCGCAGACCTTACTGGTGTTACGCCACGGACAACATAAAAACGCACAACGAGAATCTTTAGAATTAAAGTTCCCTTCGCGGAAAACGCGCAACAGATCTCGCTGCTGCCGCACACGGAATGTTAATGCACTCCCGATCGGCTTGACCCAAAAAAAAACTTTAACGGCAATACCGCGGTAAAAAATGTTCCAGCAACTTAAATTTTTGAGTACGCACAAAATTATTTGTCCCAAAAACCCAACTAAACATAAGAAAACTTTCTCTCTTTGCAAATTACCGAAAAATAAAATAATAAAAAAAAATTATATATATACAAGGACAGACGTGTGATCTGTCCATGACCGCCCACCACAATACGCAGTATTGTCATGGGTTGATAGGCCAGGGACACAACCTAATCACGGGGCGTTTGAAAACGCCAGTGCTTGTCCGGACGGTAGCCACTCGGACGACACCATCAGGTCCGGGATGGACTTCGCTTAAACGAGCAATGGGCCATTGTAAAGGAGGTGAGTTGCTCTGTTTTATAATCACTAAAGCGCCCGGTTTTACATTTGGAGAGAGACTGTTCCATTTGGCTCTTTGTTGGAGCGTATGGAGATATTCTTTAGACCATCGAGTCCAGATCTGTTGGTGAAATTTGGAGAGAAGCTGCCAACGAGAAAGGCGATTGTTCGGGACGTGTTGCACGAGGTCCTCGGGAGGGGCGTTCAAAGGCTCCATTGTGAGGAAGTGCCCGGGCGTTAAAACATTCAAGTCGTTCGGATCCTCACAAACAGAAATGCACCCACCCCAGACGTTTCGTGGCTGTAAACCATTCAAAGTAAAGGGTCATCAGAGCACACTATCCTGCAGGCTACACTAAGGACCATTCTGCTATGGAAGTTTTCTAATCCAATCAGGCCCGACCACCGGACATGGTCATTATTTTTCTCCTTGTTCGGTCCAGTTGTTGAAGTTCTATTTGCGTCCACTTGATGGTTGCAAATGTATATGCTACGTTTGGGACTGCCATGATATTGGTTGCAAGGTTAAGTTTGGCTCTGTAGCGAGAGATAAGTGCGCTCTTCACGCTTCTGGCTGCCTGTAGGTTACGTTGTTCAAAACCAAGATATTTGTAGTGTTCGTCATGGCGCAATAGACGAATTATGCTGTCATCCACCAAGTAATGGTCATCCTGAGCTCTAGGTTGTTAGGTTAATGTGCACACATTTATCGAGCCCAAAACTCATACCGATGTCGGAGGTATACTGTGCTACAACTCGCAGCGCCCGGCTGTTTCAATTGTCGGTGAGGCGTGGGCCGACTAGGCGAGTGAAACTCAATTTCCAAACAAACACTTTAATCAAAGACCAAGAGAGAGGAGGGGCTGGGACTCAAGAACAATAGCTTTCGATTAGGCATGTATCAAATATCGCGCTTGCCGCAGAGCTCTCGACATGACATACTTTAAGTTTCACATTAAATAAAAACTGTCTGTGGAACTCGGGCCGTTGGGCGCGTAGGTACTTATCTGTGAGCCGTCTAATAGGGGCCAAGTGGTTTTACTCTCTGACATTTGTCTGCTGCAACCATATACAAATTTGTTCCACCAGGGGCTCAAGCTCCAGTGAAGCGCGATCCAATCCAAGGATAGCGAGTAGGAAGCCCCAGGAGTGAAGTGGTTAAAACAATCCCTGATGTGGTCCAACGAGCCGTGCAAATGGTATACGGGAAGTCAAAAGAAAAAGAAAAAAAGGCCTTAAAGAGAATAAACGAGAAAGAAAGGAACCAGAGAACGATGACCGCTACCACTACTACAACGCTATGCTATAGACAACAGCTAGCAATTCGCTGGTCAATGCTTTAATTTCGCCGGAGAAAAATAACGTTATTCGCAACCAATTGAGTTATTGCAAGTCTGTGACCACCACCCGTTCCGCGCATGTGATACGCTTCGAAACAAATAAAAAATTTTCAAACAAGAGGGGACATTGTGTTCAAGCACCGAAATGAAAAAAATGTGGCTTTTAGACAGAGTTTTAGAAACCGGGAGTGTTTACAACCCTCGGCACGCTTACCGTACGTTACTTGTTGGTCGTAATTCGAGCCATTTCAGGCATTAGCAGTACCACAAGAATCATTTGTATATCTAGCGCTACGATCCGCATGATGACAACTGCCAAAAATGTACCGCTTCGCCCGATATTTATCGCAAATTTTTTGAACATCTGCTACTATTTTAGTTAGCGGATTGTAACTAAATACTTTGTCATGTAAAATGAGACAATAAACCGATGTATCCTTTTTGATATTAGCGCTAGTTTCAAATTCAACCCGCATTACCACAGAACCACTTTGTAAAGACTCTCTTTGATGAGAACAATTGATTTGTGTAATGGGTGTGAAGATTGGCTCGTTGGACGTTCCGTAATAAGAATGCCTAAAATTGGCAAACTAATTTAAAATACTTTAAAATTTAGATTTAAATCATGATACGGATATCGTTTCGATTTAAATATACTTTTATATTAGTTTAATCGACGCCATCAAATTGACTCATATACTTTTCTACTTGACGTTTGTAATTGTACTGTAACCACTGATGGTTCCCTTATAAATGTCCTGTTATCGTTTTTTTACATTTTTACAGGGATATTATTAATTGTCCTAACACTAATTGGAAAATAAAGTGTAGGTAGAGTCGACTCGACTATTTTATACCCAGGAGCTACAGTCTCAAAAAGCTGATGTATTATGTGAACCGGTTTACCAGTACTGTATGAGCCGACGCATATTACAATCGACGCAAATAACATTGACTTTGTTGATATTTACTACTTCATCCGACTGTTCTGTAGTCGATGCTTCAATTACTCGCTTATTAAAGTCAAGCAGTCTGTCTACCTATGGAATCATTTAGGGAAAAGTCAATTCGTTTATGTATTTCTCGAAATCTGCTAGTCCCAAAAAGTATTGAAATCTGCGGAAAATATATAAGTTTCTACATTTCTACATTCTACATTCTATGTTAAAGCATATTTAGGTTACGTTAACCAACCAGTAAAGATATAAACAAAGGGTGCCAAATATAGCAGTGGCTTGGTTCTGATTTTTTTTTAAATGTTTTGGGTATCATTGCGAATGGGGGGAAAACATCTACTGCTAGTGAATTTTGATCAGGAAACCGAGAAATATATCCTTTTCATTTTTTTTTATTAAGGTCTGTTGCGAAAAGGTCTATTTCCGGTTCCCCGAAAACTGTAATTATTTTATTAAAAACTTGTTTATGTAATTCGTACTCGACTCCAACCGACTTTTTATCTTGATCCCTTATCAGCCTACGTATGTATGTATATATGTATAGTGTTATTTGATTTTGTTCTTACCCAGGTCATCTTGCTAAGGTTTCGATATTTTACTTTGCTTCCCAGATTTATGAAGAGTGTGGCTGTTTTATTATCAATTCTAAGTAAAATACTAATAGCAGCTTGTATTTCAAGGTAATTAATATGTTGTAATCTTTCTGCCAAAACCTGTTTGCATTCAAGCAGAGGACGCATCAGAGAATATTTCTAAAGAAAAAAACTTTGTGGTTAATATTTTCAGAAAAATATGTATTTTGGATCCACCAATTAAGAGTGTTTTTTAATTGGTAAAATGCATTTTACTATAATATGTTTTTGCTTTTAGTACTTTTAATGTTTAACGTTATAATATTTGAACGTGATGACACATGACGGCTGAAGGTGCCACCACCAAAACTCCAAAACTTTCGCAAGTTTCTAAAAGTAATACTAGATTTCGTAATTTTTTTTATAATTAGGTTTTTTAATGAAATTATTTTCTTTGTTGCGATGACTTCAAGAAATAACCTTTTTGTTTTTCCGAGTCATTCAAGCAATATTTCTCTATGATCTTCTGTCATTCTTTTTTGACGCCTTTATTGCAAATAATATTCCTATCCTCTGATTTCATCATGCAGCTCGTTCCCATGAATTTCGTTATTTGATGGTTTACTGCGTCTCCAAAGGAGGATTATCCACGGGTTGTTGTGAGGAACGTCGATAAGAAGGTTCCACTTGATTATTTTCTAAATTGTCTTGCATACCTTTCATGCCAGGGTTTACTGGGAAGTTATCAGGTTTATCTTTATCTCAGATGATGAAGACTTTGCAAATGGGCAGCCATTAGTCTTTTGCGTAATAAGTACCCCTACGGTCCACGCCCAAGAGGTAGGTACAAATGTAGCTCTCAGCTATCAAAAAAAATCTACTCACGGTTATCCGCCAGAAATATTTCCTTTAGAAAGTCTGAATGAAAATTTTCTAAAAACCAAAATATTTTTTAAACTTACCAGTGACGGTGGCAGTTATGTTTTTAAATCTCCTTTTTGAAAAGTTCCAACTCTTGTAACAGATATTTTTTGTCGCTTTTGGATAATAATTAATGGTGAGCCACTCCGAATCTGCGCCCACAATACGTCACTCCGATGATGCACAATGATTAGTGAATTTTATTTAATAACATAACAACCACACAGCGCAGTCTACTTAAGGTCATACAAATTTTTTGATACATCTAGGACAACCAGTGGAGTGTCAGTTTAGAGCTCACACAGTGACAACGTCCACCATTCCCCCGTCAATAAATAAAAGCAACCTCGAAAAATTATAACTTCGACTACACAAAGGTATAAACCGCAGCAAGGACTTCTTACGTATTATTCCGATAATTCTTGGGCGTGGTCGATAGAAAAATACAAGTTAGAGAATTTTGTAATTTATAACACGCAACCGTTCGTCGGTGCAATTTCATTTTAGAGGAGTAAATAGACATTTATGGCACACGTTTGACTAAAGGTTTCAGCGTCTTGGCAGCTTGAATAAAATAGGTTCATCAATTATTGAAAAAAACTTCTAGACTTTAGATAAGGGACGCCATTGTACCCGAGGGGGTGAGTCTGTTTTTGTATATAAAAATCGTCTTATGGTTTTAAAAATTCCAAAAGAAATATAAAACTATTCGATGATATTTCCTGCATTGGCCGTTGACAAAAGGAGGAATTACAAAATGTTATTGTTTTCTTTGGTTGCTCAAGGTAAAATGAAAGATCTGATTTTTAGTGAAGTTGGAATATCGAAAAAAAAACATTCTGTAGACAAAATAACGCATCCTGACATCCTTTCCAAAATGAAAATAAATATCTTGGAATTTAATGCGGCTATTTTATGACAAACACTTTTTGAAAAAGAAAAAGAATAACGCTCGATGCTTATAGTTTTTTCATACTCTCCCGGAATAATTATAATAAATTTAGGGTTAAACTGACCAAGAATGACGAAAAATCCGGTCGCTAGTTATTGCATTATTTTATATACAGGTCACGAAAAAAATTATTCGGTTATAGGGTGTGACAAAGTCAAATGGAGATTTTAAAAGTATCGAAGTGAGATCACGATTTACGGTTTATTTTATTTTACGATATTATCTGAAATTACATTTTAAAAATTTTTACGCATTTCTTTTCATTGCTTCATAAAATATACTTATCTATTATTCTTTCTTTCTACCTTTTGGACTAAAATAAAAACGTTGAGCTTAATTTTAAAAAGCAGAATATGTTTAATTAAATCAAAACTGTTCACCTGCCACAAAAATAAAATAGAAGTTCAAAAATAAAACTAACACCTTAATAATTAATTATTTTATAAAAGGTTCAGAAAGTCCACCATTTTTAATTGAGCAATATCTCAACCTATCATAAAATTGTTATCGAGCAGTGGACAGTGTTTCAGCAGCTAAAAGCATTTGTAATTTTACTTCGAAATTTCCCTAAATTGTTTGCACAATGGTGTGCGCGCTTCTGTAAATAATGATACTGACGTGACCCCAAAGAAGAAAATAATTTCGTTCCAGACGTTGTATTTAGAAAATCGTGAACTCTGGAATTATTTCATCAGGCAAAAGATCTAAATATTCGCCTATATTTTCATTCCCGTCAAAGGAAAAGGACCACTGGTTTGATTTCTTAAAATTCTATATGTTGAACTTTTCCGAATACTGAATCCTTATAGGAATGCACATGTGTCTTGTGTTCTCTTGTGAATACCCAACTGCCACTGCAGTATTATGACGATCATGTAACCAAAATGAATTCGACAAATCGGCGAATAAAATATTCGCTAAAAAATCTCCATTTTGGTTAGCTGGTTCATGCGTTTCTCATGATCTGCTATTAAAATTTCCTGCATAGTCTGTAATTTATAACGCTTCAAAACATTCTGCACTCTTCTTGGTTCTATTTCAAGTTCCTGAGAAATTTGAATACTGTTACACTGAAAGTAGACATTTGCTAAAGGTCATGTAAGGGATGCTCAGGAACAGGTTGCTCGTCAGAACATTTTAAGCATTTTCTACAATTAGGTAAAAAACCATGCTTTTCAGAATTATTAATTGTTCGTAAAATTGTGCCATGTGCACAAATTGGCCTATTTTGAAACAAAAATGAAACATACCAAATGCCACTATTTTTCCTTTTCCCTCTACGCGGTTGTGGGAGGGGGAACGCAAACAGGTTTTTATTTAATCACGCGGAAACATTTCGTGTCACTTTCTTACATTTCATGAGTCTCTATGTAACTCTCTCACACTTACCATAACTCTATAACTGAATAGTATTTTTCGTGACCTGTACATAGTTGTATTACGGCAGAAATCCACCCGTGATAAAAATGAACACAGGACCAAAACAAGATTTCAATAAATTTTAAGGTTGCAATTGAAATTCCTCTATGAGTAATGCATTTTGAATTTGAAAAAAATCAGAAATATGCAAATCCGAGCGGGAGCCTCTCTAATAAATCTGTGCCAGAATTAATATCTAATAAATTTTTCAACTAAATTTTGGAAAAATCGTGATGTTGAAAATTCTACAATTGCTGAAAATTTCATTATATCTCGAGACTGTTTTAAAGTCCTGTTCAATTCCAGGTTTCCCACCATTAAACCAACTCCAATGTTCCAATTTTGAGCTGTTTTCAAGGTTTCAAACATTGTAAGAAACGTCCGCCCCAGATTCTTCGCGACGAGCGAAATGGTAGAACACAGATCCATCTTAACTGTCGCCAAAATGTTCATGACTTTGGTCGGTTTCTGGAAATACCCCCACCAACAACATCTCACGAAATTCTTTTACAACCTCTACTCTTTGTTGATTGTATTATATTTCTTTCTTTACACGAGTTGCCTGTACATCAAGTTCATCATTACTGTAAGCACCGCGTCAAGCTTAGATCCCGACAACTTCACACAACTAGCTTACGTCATTGGTCACATGATGGCAACGTATGTGATAATGGTATGCCGTGGCTCCAACTTTAACGGCGTCATATCGGAGATCGCTGTTGAGGAAAACCGTATATTGGAAGGAGGTGATGACGATATTTTGAAGTCCCACCTTCAACTAATCCGTTGGGATAATTGGATCAACCTTCTCTTCGCGGTATTCACTATTGGCACTGGATTCGCTCTTGGTTTGGAGAATTTGCTGCGCAATGTCGAGATAGCGCATTACAACAGAGATCACAATACTACTCTGGAAAGGCCCTTGCTAGTGCAGATTTATTATTTTAAAATAAACAAACACAAATGGGCGAACTCACTGCTAGTCATTTCCGAGATCTCCTTCGCATGCACGACGTTGATGTTTCTCGCATGTAAGGTCAGCGTCTATACATGCATAGTATTCGCTTCGTCTGTACTGAAAATGATCCAAATCAAATTCAGGAAGATGGGTCTAGGTAAAGAAAATCCGCTAGCCGCTTTGAAGCAGCTGGTGGCAGAGCATCAGCGTGTTATTGCGTAAGTTGTTGTTGTTCAATAAAATTTCCCAAATTTAATTGAAATTTTAATATTTTAAAATCAATAAAAAAGTAGGAAGCAGTTTCAGCGTTTATGTCTTCCGACGTAGGATGACCTAAGTTTTACTAAGTTTTAATAAGTTTTAACAAAAAAGAACGAATTTGATACAACCAGTATTCTTAGAGATGTTTGATAGCCGCAAGAAAATGTTGGTAAGAATTGCGAGTTAAATTTTTAACCTTTGAGTTTCAGATTTGTGGACAGATTGAACGCTTCCATAAAATTTCAGATACTTCTGGAGTATCTCCTAAACTCACTGAATGTAGCTGCAGTCTCCATTCAGTTAATTACGGTGGGCCCAAAAATAGTTTATAATAGCAAGTGTGAATCTGTAGTGTTTGTAGTACGAGAAGAAGATGTTATTGACTCCTATATTGTACCTGGGCTTTCTACTGATTCAAGTTTTCGTTTTGGGCATTAGCGCGAACGAAATTAGAATTCAGGTATGAATATATATATATATATATATATATATATATATATATATATATATATATATATATATATATATATATATATATATTCTCACGTATCGATTCACGGATGGAAAAATGTGATGACACTATATTCCGGGATATCATCCATTCGCTCGTTGAACTCCGACTGGAATCCTGCATCCGAACACTGTGTTCGAAGTGTTTTCGGAGCGCGAGCATTGAAGATGCCAAGTGAGATTTTGGCGAAACGTCTGCAGGATTCCAGTCGGATGCAAGATTTGCAGGATTCCAGTCGGATGCAGGATTCCAGTCGGAGTTCAACGAGCGAACGGATGATATCCCGGAATATAGTGTCATCATATATATATATATATATATATATATATATATATATATATATATATATATATATATATATATATATATATATATATATATATATATATATATATATATATATATATATATATATATATATATATATATATATATATATATATATATATATATGTATATATAATTTGTTAACTTCCAATTGCCTATGAAATCTCCTAGATCGTGATCCAGTGATCCAAATTTTCAAAAAATTAAATTTTTAAAACGGAAAGAAATTACTTAGTGTTCAGTGCACAGTTTTCTTCATAAGAATTTTTGTCAAATCAAAATATTAGTTTTTAATTACAGAGGAAGATGTTTGTTTAGGGACAGACAATTTAGTTTTTAGATATCTTAAGTATACTGGTAAACGTTTTAATTACTAGTTAGTTCAGTTTAATGAAATTTGGAAAGTTTGAATTTTTTAATATACTAGGACTCTTTTTGCGAAGTACTTTCCGTGGGTCAGAGATTAAATAGCACGTACTAAATTTCAAACCTCTCATGTTTTAAAAATTTAAGTGTGCTTTGGTACTTGCGCTATTATTGAAAAGAAAAGACATCTCTATATATCTGTTTTTAATGATCTGGGAGTAAATTCTACTTACAAGGAAATTACAAGAAATATACTTACAGAGCCTTGCTGTATCAGACGCGATATACTTCAGTCCATGGGAGGAACAAAGCGAAGCGGCTAAGAAAATTTTGCTGACCGTCATAGCACGAGCCCAGATACCCCTAGAGTTAACCATAGGCCCATTCGGACCCATGGTTATAGAATCTGCTCTCGCCGTAAGTGCAGGACCACCAACTCTTTTCCATATGACTGGAGAAATGCTTTTATTTTCTAGATCTGCAAAGCCTCCTACTCGTATGTCACCCTAATGATGACCAACGTCCAGTAAATATATGAGCAGCTTGATTTTGTTAAAGTTTATTTAATAACATAAAATCGGCACAAACTAAAGTCAGTTTAATATCATACAAACCTCTAAGTACAGTTAGATCCCGTGAAGTATCAGTTATCAGTCTAGAACTTAAGGAGGGGGTGACAACGTTGGCACATGTGACGCAGAAAGGACCAATATCTCACCAAAAAAAAAAAAAAAACAACTATTAAAGACTGACGCCCAAAGAATATATCCAAACCCCCGCATCCGGCGTTCGCTGGTGGAAATTTGATATATTTGATATCTCAAGATCTAACCCTCAGATTTCTTCTTTGCCAAACCAAAAAATTCGATGTTAGTTTGGCTGGTGTACGAGAGATGTCAGCACCTTAAAAAATCATATTTTGGTCGCGAGGTGGCGTCGTCATAAATCACACCTTCGGTAACTAAATGCAGTCGAAAAAAAAACTTTTTTTTTTGCGATACTGTTTTTTGCGCGAGCTAAATAACACGACCGACGGAGTACGTTTTAAAAAAGGTTTATTTTCGAAAAAACAGGGCTTTTCTTAAAACTAAAAACAAACAATTAATGTGAACAGCGAAGGGCTTTGACACTACATTAATGTTACACGGGAAACGGTGGCAGTCGATTTTATATAGCTGAATCGTTGATTCAGCGTCTATTCAGCAGGATGCGTCCGGTCTGGGGATATTTCTCCTCCTCCCTTAGATTCTTCAACGTCCTCGTTGATGATTCTTTCTAGGGTTTTGACAGGGATGGCCTCTAGGAGTCTATGTTTTCTCCATTGGTAGAGCATGACGCTGGAACTAGTCAGGAGAACTATACACAATAATGAGAAAATTAAACAGTAATATGTTTGGTTTTGGTGAACCAATCTTTCGGTTTTCATCGGCAGTATCAGGTCGTCTTGAATAAGGGTCGGATCCTCTAAGTGTTTCATTTGTAGATTTATGGTGAGGTTGCTTGGTTGAATATTTGTCGTTTCCGGATACTGAATGGATATATTATTCATACCCAAGGAATACTTCTGGTTGTCGATGATGACGTCGCATTGGCTCTGGATCAGGGAGCAACCTTGAAGAAGTTCTTTTTGGAACTGGAAGCAGTCTTCGTATACTAGTTCCGACGTATTTGCACAGTACAGTAAGGAGTTTTTAAATGTATGTATGCACACGAAAGTTGTTTTGTACAGTAGCATACTAACAGTCAACTGGAAGATGACAACTATTTAACTGATTCGAACACAACCATCTTGAATTAACTATTTGGCAATGTTTGTACCACAGGTTATTACAATAATATTTACTAGGTCTAATTAACATTTTCGAATCGTTGTTGGGTATTGGATACACAATTTGTAAGTCGCAAACATTTCTTTCAAAAATAGGTATTTTAATTGCGAGAATTGCCATTTCACTCGTAATTACCAAACCGGTTTTACAAATTACAGTTAATTCGGAAATATGATTAATAGGCCATAGGGCATTTTTAGGGTAATGAATTTTCAGGTATTGCCAAATCTCGTTTATTTCGTCAGAGCTGAATATTTCGAAATCTAAGGTTTGTAAGTGCACAAATGAAAATACTTTTAGCAGCTTTTCTAAAAATTGATTAAGGTTATTTATTTGCACGTATTGATCTTGCAAAAGTAAAACTAGATTAATTTGTTCATTTGCTTTGAGAACTTCGGACCTAAGAATGTTGGTATTTTGATTTATAAGTTCTACATTTCGTTTGAACCTACTCATTATATTTCCAGCAAAAGAACTTAGTTCATTGATCTTACGCATTGAATTTAGTTGATTTTGCTTAAGTATTTCTACATTTTGCATAATCGTTTCCATGTCATTATTATCGAGATTTCCGGTGATGAACTTAATACCGCTGCCAAGGAAGTTCATTAATCCTCTTTTCTTACGGTTATTCAACTCATAAATGTTGAGCTTTGCATAAGTATCGTAAGTGAAATTTAATGCCCTATATACGTGATGGAACTGTTTCCTTGTAAAATTATTATTTTGCTCGTTTACTAGCTTCTCTAAGATCAATACATTATTAAGTAAATGGGATAATAAATCCTTAATATTAGTAATGTTAAATAGTACATATGTAGTATGATAATGAGGGTGTTACATCTTCGGTATAATATCCGTTATTCGGAAGTTTGTAGACCTGAAGTGCTTTAGCCTGCAGGATCGGGATCAGGAGGCTGAAAAGAAAGAGGATTTTTTCTAAGCCTTTTAATTTTTCGTATATGCGTAGAGGTGGGTTTTTTCTTAGAAATGCCAGTTATTTTATTTTTATCGACGTTCGTAATTTTTGTCGGTATGTACTGAGGATTCATTTTATTCCTTAGAGTCGTTTTCTTGTAGATTATTTGATCACGGTGTAAGTCTGGAGGTGTTTCAGGATTTTTATTTTGTTTTTCGGTGTTTTTAGATTGTTTTCGATAAGCGGTTTTATAAATGTGTTCAAAAAATGGTAATAATTCCTTTTTTCGATTTTCGTTGTATTGTTCGAATAACGTCAAATCATTGTTTATATTAGGTTCATTAAAGTAAGGGCCATAAAGTATAGAAAATGGAGAATGTCCAGTTGTGGAGTGAATACTTTGATTATAAATGAGGACTGCGGAAATCATTAGATTCTGGGAAGTCTCTTCCGAATTTTGCATTTTTAGTATTCTTAATTTTTCAAGTAAAGTAGAGTGAGGTCTTTCCACGGGGCTATTTGAAGAAGAGTTACCGGGAGTTGTATAGTGAATTTCGATGTTAAAAAGTTGACAAAATTCCCTGAAGAGGTTATTTTGAAATTCTTTTCCTTGGTCCGTAACGATTTTTTGCGGAACGTTGTGATGCGCAAAGAAATGTCTAAGTTTGCTGAGAATAGTTACAGAATTTTTGTCAGAGACAAAATATGCTTGGGCGTATTTAGAGAAAGAATCGATTATAGTGAGGAATTGGGAGTTTGAAAATTGGAATATGTCCAAATGAATAGTTTCAAAAGGCTTTTCAGCGAGCAGAGGGCCTTCATAAGCTATTTTGTACGGATGTCTTTCATATTTATTCTGTAGACAAATTTCGCACTTATTTATAAATGCCGTAATTGCATCCCTGAGTTTTGGCCAATAATATTTTTGTTTGATATTATGATAGGTTTCCGTTATGCCATTATGATTGCTCTGGTGATATTTAGAAATAATATCTTTTTGTTGCTCAGGGTTGGTTACGTCTGTCAAATAAGAGTTTGACATGAGAAGTTTTGCTGAAGCGTTTAAATTTTCGGAGACTACTCTTTCGAATTCGACTTTAAGTTCGTGATTGGGAATAAAAATAGTGAACGCGACATCAGGTTTTATTATATCTTTTATTATTTTTTGGATGTGCTCAATCCTGTTCTCTTTTAATATACGAACGAAGTGGTGATATTTCTGAAAAGGCTTGGAGAATGTATGTTTATATTTTTGGCCATAGTCGATGACTAAGCGATTTGTAGCGTAATTTAAGGGTAGTTCGGAGATTGGGAGATGTTTTCCTCGTGTGTCATTGTTTGACTGAACGGTGACGTCGGAGACATTATCTATTACGTCACGTCTTGTTTGTTCTTCGGGTTGGGTAGTAGCAGTGACGGTGTCGGTTGTTATATCATTATATTTTTCGTTAAGAACGAAATCGGCGAGATCGAAGTCACTAAGATTGGCGACTGTATCGTCGACATTGGACATTGATCAAGCCTTAGTTGACTTTCAGGGTTGAATTTCGATCGAACGGGGGATTTAACAGCTCGAATTGATCCTCAGGAATAACCCTAACTCTTGGGTGGAAATTAATTGAAACGTTTGGTACTGGGTTTGGAATTTTGCAAAATCCGTCATTTACTTCGACTAATGAATCGGGAACTATATGTTCATTAATACGGAACGAAGGGAGAAGAGCAGTTCCATTTTCGAAATTAACTGGGATAAGTAAAGATTTACTATTAAAATTATTAATTGGTTGATGCAGTGGTTTGTTATAGGCAAGTGAAAATGGAATTTTAATATTTTGTAAAGTAAGTATTTTATTTTCGTAATCAATCAATGCATTTAATTTTTTCAGATCTTTGGTTCCTATTAGCGCGTCGAAATCGGTATGCCAATTTAGTACACGAAGATTAATATTTAAATTAATCCCTAGTTCTTGTAATAGTGGAATTTTTAAATTTTTATCCTCCTTGTATACTTGTTTACATGCCGTAACTTCAAAGGGTTCAATAAATTGATTTAGTGGATATAAATTGGCTGTTTTTGGCGAAATTATTGAGTCGGAGGCGAAGGAATCAATGAGTACCGTGATTTGTTTTTCAGGAAGGTAAAAATAAGGAAGTTCGATTTGTTGGGCTATGTTGTTTAAGTTAATTCTAGATGGGAGGCTACGTCCTGAAAATTTTCGGGAGTTTCCTCGTTATTTTCGACATTATTATCGAAATCTGAATTTGGGCCGGAAAGGTTGTAGTCGTGATGAACGGGTTCGCCGTTATAAATCTGGGAATGATCATAATGTTCAGTATTTTGAAAGGGTTCCGAGGTTTGATAGGATGGGGTTTGGTCGTAATCGGGGTGAATTTCGACATTGTAAAGTTCTTGAGAAACAAAGTTTCTCGGTCCTGTCCTTTGGAAGAAATTAGTGTAATTTTGAGGGGCTTGTCTCTGCGGATGTGTGCGAGAAGGTCCTATAGCGGAAGTCGACATTGGTACGGGTTCGTCTTGTCGGGTGGTTCTAGTTTGCATGGTTATAGGTTTGGCTTGTTTACCAAACACTTGGGCGTTCGTCGGAAAATGTCGTTGAACTGGTCGGGGTTGAATATTAATCGGTTGACTGGGAAAAGGTTTTGGCTGTGGGATGAAGGCAGGTTGTTGGTTACAAAACGGTTTAAAATTATTGCTACCATTATTTTGCCTGGGTGACGACGCGTGCAGGTTTGAATTACTGTTTGTAAAGTTAACCTGAGACTCTATCATATTATAGTTTACCACGTGTGAAAAAGCGGCGTCAAGTGTCAAGGTTTTTAACGTATGCGGAGAATTTGCTGTTAAAATAAGTACTGATGTGCTTTGTACTTGCGTAATTAAAATTAATTTTGAGTTTTGATCTTCTACTTCGCATTGAATCTTTGAAATAATTCTTTGAATAAAAGTTTTTAACCTTTCTACGAAATGCAAAATGTTTTCGCCTTTGTTAATTTTAATATATTGCAATTGTTGCATTAATATTGGATAAGTTATAGGATCACCAAACTTTTGGCGTAATGCATCTTTAATAGAAGCCCAAGTAGTTAAATCGGGCCGGGCGAGAAGAAAACTTCTAGCATCGTCAACTAATTTCGATTTTACTGCGGCTAAAACTACTTTTCTTTGATCTTCGTTAATGTTGAAATATAATGAATAAAATTCGTCGATAGACAAAATAAAGCTCTCTAAATGATCTTGATTTTTGGAAAATGTGGGTAAAAGTGAACTATGGAATCTAAGGTCTTCCATTTCGTTTGTATTACTAATACTTAAACTATCTAACAAATCTACTAAATCCTCTGGAATAGGCGTTAATGATTTATTCAAATCTTCAGAATCACTATCGGAGATATCCGATTCGTTTTTTAAACGAATGCTTAAACCTAAAGAAGCCCTATTGCGTGTCAAAATACTTTTCAAACGTTTGGAAGCGTCAGGCATTAAATAATGGCAATTCAGCAATTACTTACAGTACAGTCAAGGCAAGATCCATAAAGCTTGTGCTGCAGAGGCTCACAACCAAAGGAAATCCTATAAAGCCGTGGCTGAAGGGCTTAACGTCGGGACGTTGATCTGTTTCGGGAGCTGGGAATTGCGTTGACTATATAGCTGCTGATAACACGGTAGCGAGCTATAGTCTTCAAATTCCTTCAGGATTTCTGAGCAGTCCCGTTGCGATCGTGGAGTCAGTCGGTTTCTTTTTGTTCGGATAATGCACTAAGATTTGACAATCACTTTCGCACAACGAAAAACCGATAAAGGGCGAAATTGCACTATCCTGTTCGCAGCGCCAGTTAAATAACACGACCGATGGAGTACGTTTTAAAAAAGGTTTATTTTCGAAAAAAACAGGGCTTTTCTTAAAACTAAAAACGAACAATTA